AGTGTAATGTGTATTAGAACATATTTATTTGTGTTAATTTGATTAATTTAAGAATCAAAATGTAAAAATTCTTTGTCCATCTGTGTGTGCTGTGGAACCAGCACATTGTTTGACTCTCAGGCCAACTGCTATCAAAGCATATGCATTTTTAATAAGGAGGAACAAAATCCTCTCTTCTTCCTGCCATTCTTGTTTCTAACTATAATAAAATGTTAAGTCACCAGTAAGACTGTATAGCAGTAAATCATTACAGCATTCCAGTAATTAAAAATTAAAGTCTTTAATAAATATTCCTATAAGTAAAATAGCATATTATGAACATGAATATTAGTATCATTATATCAACACCCTTCACTAGAAATAGATAACAACTATATTGTGTCCCTTGAATTTTCATAATAAAATTATCTTTTTAAAAATAAAATCTCCCAAACTTCTTTAGGTTTCAACAATTATAATATATATGAACATTGAAAGACTTCTCACAAAACTTAATCAGGAAAACAGTCTAATAATTAAAATTTACCCATATTAGTCACTTTTTGTTTTCCTTTGTTTAGAGTTTGTATCACACCTATTTCCACCAAACATTTAGGGGAGTAACTCATTTTCAAGAACTTGATAATACAAATTAATTTGTTATTCCAAATTTTGTCCCTTCATGAAAATTTCCCTAAGGAGCAATGGCAAGCCCCCCTGCTACCCAGCTCCCTCTTAAGCCCACCTGTTCTGTAGAGGTGCCCATGCCTCCTCTCTCCGTGAAGGCTGTCCCCTTGCCATCTTCTCTTTGAGTGTTGCGTAGAACAGTCATTCTCCACCTTTTTAGCTTATGAGGTTCTGTGACTTTTAATGTGTTTTATGATAATGGTATAATAATAATACTTAGCACTTACACAACTTTTCATCTTCAAAGTGCTTTCCAAACATTTACTAATTAATTTTACATTAGTAAAACATGAGCTGTATATATGCCGCTCCATAAATAATAGATAATCATATGACCCAAATGGAAGCGAAATTTAAAACTCAGTTATGACTGAGGAAGCAGTAGGACCCACTGGTTTGAAAAGAACAATGGGCCTTTGCTCTGTTTTATATTGTAAGATTGTGGCAACCTCTTCTCTTTTTTGCTGTTAGTTGAAAAGCCAATGGCTCTTCAAATTCTAACCCTCCATTAAGATCTGAATGTTTTCCAACTTGTAACTCTCATTTCCTTCCACCACATATTATCCCTTCATGAATTCCTCCTTGAAATTGTTAACTGCCTCCTTAATACTAGTGCTTATTAAAGAATGTCCAATTCTCTAAAATCCATAGGGTATTAATTTTTTATTAAAAAAAGATATAAGTCTAACCTCTAATTTTCCAAAGTTTTGGGGTAGGATTATGGGTTTTAGCAGTTAATTTTAATTTGGTGTGGAGAGTAGAGAGGACATAGCTTTATGTTTAGCCACCTAGAAGAGAAAAAATTTGCTAGAGGCCAGAAATTTCAGTTACAGGAGAATCAGGTTATTAATCTAGAAGAGAAGCCTTCCTTGAATAACAGTCTTTCTTAAAGAAACGTAACCTCATTATATGATCAGTAAGAATCGTTGTTCTACCTACCTACAGTACCTCCCTTTTTCTCAAAACCTGTACAGGAAAAGACAATCAGAGAAATAGTATTTGTATTAGAATGAAAACGAACTGTATTAGCAGTATTTTATCACTTGTTAATAGTACCTTGATTAGATCTATTCACATTTTTTAAAAATTTCTACATTAAGCATATTTATTTGAGCATCCCAGACAGTATGCTTTTGTACATGCATTAAAAAGTCTAGTATAGGGGCTGGCTGGTGGCATGGTGGTTAAGGATGCTGGATTCTCATGTGGTGGACTATGGTTTGAGTCTTGGACCTGGCAGTTTGCTATAGGGCATGTACGCTCACCAGAGAGACAGAAAATGAGAAATCATCTTCCACCGGGGGGATGGCCACATGCAATCCCTGCTCCATTCTCCTCTGGACATGCATATGTACCCAGTATGAATTTCAAGCTGCCAGATCTGGGACTTGAAATGTGGTTTGCCACATGAGAGTCCTATACCACCTGCTGGCTCCTGGGATAATATTTTTTAAAAATGGTATCTGTTGAGTTTTTCATTTCTGATAGTTCAATCCTATGATTCTTCCCCTCATTTCATGATGTAGTTATGGCATTCTGAGTTTACTGTCATCAAGTAAGCCTTGTTATAGCAGAAATGTAAAGACAATTTCAAATAGCTTTCAAGCATGTGTCAGAATCAATATCTTTAAAGAAAAAATTGCTTATTTTTAGTCAAAAGACTGACTTTTTTAATTACCAAAAACTGAACTTTTATACAGACAGGTTCAAGAGTATTGAAAATGTTGTATTTCTTATAGTATATGTGTTTGTGCTCCTTTAAAAAAAGTTCTAATTATGTAAATATAATATATGTTTTAGGCAGATATATAAATATATAATTGTACTATGTAAAATATACTCAGGTAACTATGAAGGGATCTGAAAGTAGAAACTTTGGGTCTTCCTTCATATCCAGAGCTGAAAAGTGACAGCTTCACAGCTGAAGTTTATAGTTTATAGTTCATAGTTTATAGAGGCAGAGAAACTCTGAGGTAGTCTTGTGGAGTTTGATGGTGACTGAGAATAGTGCAGCAGAGTGTCCCATGTATTCTGTGCTTCTAAGAAGTGTGCAGAAACAAGGCCAAGAGAAAGTTGTAGACTAATTTGGAGTCTGTGCTAGTAGTTAGTAGTAGGATCTGTTGAGTGGAAGACAAGATAGGAACTCAGACTTCTGAGAGGATATGTATGGAGAGTAGATGGCACAATGTCAGAAGATGACAGTGTGGACTGATGGTGACTGGAGGTTAGCCCAGTGTCCTGGCACTCTAAAAGCTGGGTCATTTAGACTTATAGAACAGGGGATGTAGTAACTTGACCAAGAGAACCCCCAAATGCTCAAGAAAACCCTGGACTGACTAAACTTACCAAGTATAGTGTGTGTAATTGTTGCCATTTGGCAGAATGGGGCTTGAAATAAAGTTATAATTAAGAAAATTACTTTTTGGTATGTACCTATTTGAGCTTATGGCCAAAAAAAAATACCAGCAAGAATAGGAAGTTCGAGAGTATGAGATTTTTAAAAAGGAGCTTATAAGTTATACAAAAAAGGAGGCTTTAATAAGTTTTAATATTTAAGCAATGAGATATTTAGAATATTCCAGGAAAAACATAGGGTGATACCTTTAAGAGATTCTATATAAGGATGCCATAGGGAGATGTTATATGGAAGTTATAATTTTAAGTTTCCTTCTAAATGTTATAATTTTACATGTTTGAAAGTATCTATCTGCCTTACATTTGTGCTAATGAATTTTAGAACACTTTCAAAAATGAAAAATGTTGGGAACCAGCAGTTAGCGTAATGGCTATGTCGCTGGACTCCCATGTAGTCGACCGCGGTTTGTGTCCCGGACCCGGTGGCTTAAAACTCACACTGGGCGCGTGTGCGTGCGTGCCCAAGATCCCGAGAGGAGAATGGAGGAGAAGGGATTGTGGCGTGACCATCCCCCCTGGGGGGTGATTTCTCGCTTTCTGTCTCTATGTCTCTCTCTGTCTGTCTGGCGAGCACACGCTCCCTACAGTGAAAATCTCTCCAAAAAAAAAAAAAAAAGAAAAATGTTTTTCTTTTTATCTTTTCCTTCTTATCACAACTTTTACAGCCACTTTAAGCTACCATTAAGGGACCAGCAGTTAGCGTAATGGCTATGTCGCTGGACTCCCATGTAGCTGACCATGGTTTGAGTCCTGGACCCAGTGGCTTAAACTCACGCCGGGCATGTGTGCGTGTGTACCCAAGATCCCAAGTGGAGAATGGAGGAGAAGGGATTGCAGCATGGCCATCCCTCCTGGGGGGTGATTTCTCACTTTCTGTCTCTCTGTGTCTCTCTTTCAGGTGAGCACACATACCCTGTAGCAAAAACCTATCTCTCCCTCAAAAAAAAAAGTTACCATTAAAAATCAACCAACCGCGGGAACCAGCAGTTAGCGTAATGGCTATGTCGCTGGACTCCCACGTAGTCAACCGCGGTTCGCGTCCTGGACCCGGTGGCTTAAAACTCACTCCGGGCGCGTGTGCGTGCGTGCCCAAGATCCCAAAAAGAGAATGGAGGAGAAGGGATTGCAGCGTGACCATCCTCCTGGGGGGTGATTTCTCGCTTTCTGTCTCTCTGTCTCTTTCTGTCTGTCTGGCAAGCACATGTGCCCTATAGTGAAAACCTCTCCAAAAAAAAAAAAAAATATCAACCAACTGGGACAGTGTGTCTCGAGTCCTGGACACAGTTTGAGACCTGAACCCAACCTACTGACTTGAAAAACATGCTGGGCACATATGCATGCATACCCAAAATTTCTGAAGGAGAGTGGAGGAGAAGGGATTGCAATATGACCATCCCCACATGGGGGGTGCTTTCTCACCTTTTTCCTCTGTCTCTTTCTGGTGAGTGTACATGCTCTTTAGAAAAAAAAAAAGTTCAACCAACCACTGAAGTTAAAACGATTTAAAAAACTAACATTTAGATAACTATTAACTGGTGATTGGTATATACACTTAATGCAAACTTAAAACCTTTTGATAATTATCATGAAGCAGTAAAGGTAGAAGAGAGAGTGAATAAGGCAGAAGGCAAAATTTGTTTCATATTATTTTTTACAAACCTAATAAAATTTAAAATTTTATTATTTTTTTTATGTGGACTTCATTGATCTTTTGATAATCTGCAACCTGGATAATTTGTACTGCTAAAGTTTTAATAAACTTGAAATGAGAAAAAAAAATGTCAATCTGGTTTATTGACTATTTTGAGTTAAGCTGCTTGGAAAGGGGCCAGTTTGAGACATTCTGCAAGGCTGATAACTTGAGAAGTTTCATATTCACGTCTGAGGACCTCTCTGACTGTGCCGGACACATGTGTACCATGATCCAGGGCTGGCTAAGACTGGGGCAGATCATGGCATTGAGACCCTGTTGGTGTTGTATCTTTGTCCCACTCTCTCTCATGTAAGCTTATCAGAAGATAAGAAAACAACAACAACAACAACAAAACTTAAAAAATTTTTTTGGGAAAAAAAAAAAGCTTGGAAAAAAAGGCAGATATAAGATCACTTTGACCTTTTTTGCCAGGTCTTAAAAGCAGAAGATGGCATTTCTCTGTGAACAGTGTCCTCCTTACACCAGAAGGAAAAAATATTCTTGCCATCAAGGACAGGAAGTGGAGACAGAGAATTCTGCATAAACCTGTTTAAAATAACTCATATCTTTAGCCTTCATAAATAATTTAATTGCTTTTTTCCTATTTACTACTCTGTGCAATTCAGTATAGAAGTGTTCAATTCTAACTGCTTCTTTGGATCTTCATTTCCTCATGAAGCTGCCTGTGCCCTGGAAAACTGGTATTAAATAAATTTGTATGCATTCCTCCTCTTGAGTTCTCTTCTATCAATTTAATTCTCTGGCCCAGATGGGGGAAAAACAAAACAAAAACTACAAAAAAACCACAAACAAACAAACAAAAAACCCTAAGAGGGTAGAAGTAAAGTTTTGTCTCCCATACAATTATAAGTATCTCTTCTCATATCTCTTCTCACTATTTTGCTTTTTAATCCTGTAATAGTGTCTTTAGAAGATCAAAAAATTTTAAATTTTAATAAAGTCGAATCTAGCATTTTTTCTTTAAATCACTTTTTATCCTGGTACTACAATCTTTTTTAAAAAATTATTTTAAAGATATCT